CACTCTCAAGAGTCTGGCCTCTCTCACTTCCCTATTATAACAAAGGGCAGAGGAAATCTGTCCACAGGATATATAAGTCAGTGAATTTCAGATCCATTTTCAGGATTCCATTGATCAGAAAGTTATGAAAAGAACATCATCAATAGTTTAATCAAGCCAGTACTTCATGTTCCTTTTGTTGGAAGCTGAGTTGTTGAATCATTTGAGATGACAGCATCGGGACAGAGATAGAGAGAGGGAAAGTGAGAAGTCCCTCCCCAGGGGAGTGATTTCTGCAATCCCTTCTCCATTCTCTTGGGATACTAGGCATGCATGTACATGTGCCCACCGTGTTTTTCAAGCTGCCAGGTTTGGAACTTGAGCCACAGAATTGATCATGTGGCTTACAGTGCCTTATTTACCACCTGCTGGCCCGTTTACTTTTTTTCTTTTAAATTTGGAGACAATAGGAGCTAGCAGGTGGCATGGTGGTTAAGAACGCTGGACTCCCACATGGCGGACTGAGGTTCCAGTCCCAGAACTGCTGGCTCACTTTCTCATTCTCTCTCTCTCTTTTGCTTTTGCTCTTGCTCTTGCTCAATCCCTTTCTGGTCAAATGAAAATAAGTAAATAAATAAAGTTAAATAAAAATAATTCTCGTGGGAGGAGGGTGGGAGATAGGGAATCAAGGATGGGGAAAAAAGCAAAATATACAGGAAACAAGAAATGGAAAATTATTTGTAGATGATAATATGTATGTTGATGTGCTTGACTGAGCCAATATACAGTGTATTCTGGATGGGAAATCTCATTTTGTTTGCTCTAATGTTGTACAGTGAATGAATGTAAATAAATAAATTTAAAAATGTCTAAAATCCTAAAAAAATAATTCTAAAAAACAATTTGGAGATAATATATATAAAAATATCATAGGTTATAAGTACCTCAGGACAGAAACAGTTGCAGTCAATATCACTGAAACATAGCAATGAGTAACAAAGATGACAAACCCAGAGCTAACAGTCTAAGGCTGAAAGTCATGGCTCCTTCATGTACAATATTCTGTGGGAGCTCAGTAGAGGGACAGCCAGGTCAGACTGAGGACCAACGGAGATACATGAGTTGGTTCTTTGCGTAATCACTGTGAGCATAATCTAGCTGGCTAGAGAGAATAGTTATTAAATTTTAAATAACATAGACTAGTCATCAAAGTGCTGAAGAAGGCGTTCAAGTCAGTAAACAACACAGGAAGAAAACTTTACATGTTTTGGACTGGGTAAGGAAGAAAACAAGGCTGGAATTTTTTTTTTTTTTAAGAGAAATTTTTGCTATAGGGCATGTATGCTTGCCGGAGACAGAGAGAGAGACAGACAGAAAGTGAGAAATCACCCACAGGGGCATGGCCACGCTGCAATCCCTTCTCCTCCATTCTCCTGTCAGGATCTTGGGCTCGCATGCACATGTGCCTGGTGTGAGTTTGAAGCCACCAGGTTCAGGACTTGAATTGTGGTAGACTGTGTGGAAGTCCAGTGACGTAACTATTATACCATCTCTGGTCCCACATGGCTGGAATTTAAGGTGTTTTTTTTAAAGTTTGGATAGACTAGAAATATAAAAATAATGGGTTGGGACCAGAGGTGGTGTAGCGTTTACGTTTTGGGACTCTCACCTGGGTGACTGCGTTTTTTTTTTTTGGAGAGATTTTCACTGTAGGGCGCGTGCGCTCGCCAGACAGACAGAGAGAGACATAGAGACAGAAAGCGAGAAATCACCCCCCAGGGGGGATGGTCATGCCGCAATCCCTTCTCCTCCATTCTCCTCTCGGGATCTTGGGCACGCACGCACACGCGCCCGGCGTGAGTTTTAAGCCACCGGGTCCGGGACACGAACCACGGTCGACTACGTGGGAGTCCAGCGACATAGCCATTACGCTAACTGCTGGTTCCCGGTGGACTGGTTTTGAGTCCTGGGTAGCTTTGAAATCACACCTGGTGCGCGTGCATGTGTAACCAAGATCCAGGGAGGAGAACAGAGGAGAAAGGACTGTAGTGTGTCCATCCGCCCTGGGGGGGTGGGTGATTTCTCACTTTCCCTCTCATTGTATCTGTCTCTTTCTCCCCCATGAGCACATGTACCCTGAGACCAAAAAAAAAAAGGGAAGGTGTTAGTACTGTGGCCTGGTGGTTAAGGGAAACAGATCCCACATAGCTAACTATGTGGTTCAAATCCTGGCCCTGGCAACTTTAAAAACACATACGTGTTGTACCAGGAGTGTGTGCACACATGCACAAAATCCCGACCGGAGAGAGAATTGGAGAGGGGATTGTGGTATGACCACCACCCTCACTGGAGGATGCTTTCTCCCTCTCTTTCTCTTTCTGGCACATGCACGCACCCTCTGGTAATTAAAAACAAAACCAAAAACTAAGCTAAGCTTACTAGATGAACAAAAGAATGTACAATGGAGAAAGTAAAGGATGTGGACACAGGAATAGATACTGGAGTGAGAGTAGGATAGAGAATTACTTCATCTCTTCAGCTCCCTCTGAACCTCAAATTGTGGTGTCATGAAAAATGAGCTACTTAGAATTGAACAAATGACTAAACGTATTTGGTGCAAAGTCCTTTTAAATTTTTTTAATAATTATTTTTATTTATTTATTTATTTATTTATTTATTTATTTATTTATTTATTTATTTATTTATTTATTTATTTATTTATTTATTTATTTATTTATTTATTTTGACCAGAGAGAGACAGAGGTTGAGAGTGAGAAAGAGAGGAAGTGAGAAAGCAAGCCACCAGATTCAGGACTTGAACCCTGGTCGGCCATGTGGGAGTGTCCAGCACCTTAATCACCACCCCACCTGCTGGTCCCAACCTTTTAAATTTTATTTTTTTTGAGAGATTTTTGCTATAGGGCGCGTGCGCTTGCCAGACAGACAGAGAGACATAGAGACAGAAAGCGAGAAATCACCCCCCAGGGGGGATGGTCACTCCGCAGTCCCTTCTCCTCCATTCTCCTCTCAGGATCCTGGGCACGCACGCACACGCGCCCGGTGTGACTTTTAAGCCACTGGGTCTGGGACGCGAACCGCAGTCGACTACATGGGAGTACAGTGACATAGCCATTACGCTAACTGCTGGTTCCCTCAACATTTTAAATTTTTTTTAAGTTTATTTATTTATTTCCATTAAAGAGAGAGAGAGAGCAACAGCACCCCCAACAGGCCAAGATTCACCCTCAGCCTCAGCTAGCCCAGGACAATTGGCAGTGTGTGTCCAGCATAGGGACTGAACCTGGAACCTTGCCATGTGGGTCAACCTCATAGAGCAATGTGTTTGCCACTGTCTGGTCCCTTAGTGCAAAATTCTTTTTTTTTTTTAAACAGAATTGTTTATTTTTTAATTTATTCATTTATTTACTTTTAATTTGACACACAGAGAGAAAGAGAGAGGGGAAGTGAGAAAGCAAGCCACTAGGTCTAGGACTCAAACCTTGGTCTGTCATGTGGGAGTGTCCAGCACCTTAACCACCATGCCATGCCACCTGCCCAGTGCAAAATTCTTGAACAGTGCCTCTCAAAAGAAGTTTCAGGAATTCCTGAGGTTATTTATTTATTTATTTATTTATTTATTATTTATTTATTTATTTTTTTTGGGGGGGGGGAGGTTTTTGCTATAGGGTGCATGGGGACAGTGGGAGACAGAGAGACAGAAAGCGAGAGATCACTCCCCAGGGGAGATGGCCACGCTACAATCCCTTCTCCTCCATTCTCCTCTAGGGATCCTGGGCACGCATGCATACATGCCCGGCATGAGTTTCAAGTCACCGGGTCCGGGACGTGAACCGTGGTCAACTACATGGGAGTCCAGCGACATAGCCATTACGCTAACTGCTGGTCCCTTTATTATTTCAAACATTTCTTGTATTACTATTTAGAATGTGATAATATCCATCTTTGTTTCCTTTGTGAATTATAAGCAAATACTATGTTAAAATGTGCTGAACTGAATGTGATAATTCTGAAAAAAAAAATTGTTTTACCTATATAACATAATATGGGAACACATTCTTGTAATAAGTGAAAGCAATAAAGACACAGCTTAAAGGCTCCAATTCTGATCCTTTCCTTTAGACTTCTATTAGGATGGTTCCTGTATTCCATACCTTTTGACACGCGTTTACTTCCTTGTTAAGCCATATAAAATACACGCTTCAGAAAAACAAGTGTTGGGGACCAGCGGGGTGGGTGGTGGTGGTGGTGTTGAAGGTGCTAGACTCCCACATGGTCGGCCTTGGTTTGTCCCATGCCTGGCTGCTTTAAAATCATGCCGGGCACTATGGTGTGCCTGCCTGCCCCAAATCCCAGGAGAATGGGAGAGCGAGGACTGCAGCCTGGCCATCCTTCCTGGGGGTGATTTCTCGCTTTCTGTCTCTCTCTGCCTTTCTCTGGTAAGCACCCTCACTGTATGGCAAAAACCTTCAAAACAAAACAAAACAACGTAAATCTACTATATCTTGAATTTATTCAACAAATAAGCGGCTGTGTGGTCTGTTATGTGTGTGAGCTATTTACTTGCTGTGAATGTCCCAGCTTTTCACTGTTACTGCTCTGGACATAGGACTCCTTCCTGGTGCAAGCATGCTGGTGTTTCTCGGGCACTGAGAGCTATTAGCGACAGCGTAGAGAAGTTGTATTTGTAAATAATTGATCACGGAAATAATCTCCCACCGTGGCTGCACCCACTTTTACCAGTTTACCTGCCCAAGTACGATTTTTAATTACTGTTTACTTCGCAGAGACAGTTTTCCTCTGCGAGGGCTTCAGGCTGGGCGAGCGCAGCTCCCGGCCCTGTGCCTGCCCCAGGGTCCACCCGAGGCGGCACACCCCCAGCCTCTTTTCAGGCCCATCTCTCGGACCACCTTTTCCGCTCGGAGGCCCCGCCTCTCGGCCGCGGAGGGGGCGGGGCGAGGGCGGCCGTGACATCACTGCCGGCCCGGCGCCATCTTGCTGGTCTGCGGCCGGACTCGGATGTGGCGGCGGCCCTGGTGAGGGCGTGGGGAAGGGTGGGGTGAGGGGGCGAGGCCGCGACGAGGGCGGCGAAACTCTCCTCCCCTCTGCCCCACCGCGTGGGACGGCGTGAACTCGGTGTCGGAGGGATGTCCGCTTTCTCCGAGGCGGCGCTGGAGAAGAAGCTCTCGGAGTTGAGCAACTCGCAGCAGAGCGTGCAGACCTTGTCCCTGTGGCTCATCCACCACCGCAAGCACTCGCGGCCCATCGTCACGGTGTGGGAACGGGAGCTGCGCAAAGGTGAGCGGCCCGCGCCTCTCGGCTGCGTCCCTGGCGCCCCGGGACTCCCCACCCCGCTTCCCGGGAGCCCTGTCCCCTAAGCGCACCCCGCTTCTGGTCTCCGGCGGCCCTGGCCCCCTGGCGTCGGGAGCGCTGTCGTCGTGCCCGTGCGCGGTGGTCCGCGGGAGGAGGACGCCTCCGCGCTTCCTGCAGAGCCAGCGCTTAGTAGGTGCTTACTGGGTAAAGACATGAACAGTTTAGAAATTCGGTTAATAACACGGAAACAGTAGTAGGGGCTTGGGACTCCGCACCCAATTAAGGCCAATAATTCAGATCCTTTTTTAAAAAAAAATTTTTTATTCTGTCAATTATAATGCAAGATAGGGGAGGGGAAAAGTAGGGAAATAGAAAGGATAAGATTGGTGTGGATTTGGCGGTTAATTCTATCATTTCTGTAACACATCAACCCGGTCTTGTAAAATTAATAGCAGAGTCAGTTTTACAGTTGGGAAGTCTAAAATAAATAGATGCTTGATGGCTTGGAGAGAACCCTGTATTTGTAGACTTTGGAAAACCCGGATTTGGGTGCATTTCTTATCACTTTTGGATCGCCCATACCTCACCTGTAAATGAGGGCTTTAGATGAAGTGATCTGAAGGCCCTAACTGATCCTTGTTATGTGCCTCTCGGGCTGCGTGTTTGTTTTCCCAAAGATTATTGATAGTGCTCCTGAGATAAAATAAACTTCCTTGAGCAGATGTGTGCTACTGAAATATTCAAAATCGGTTCATCTCTGCAGAGCAACTTAATCAAAAGAATTGGTTGTATCTTAGTAGACTAGAATTTTAAAATTGTCATTTGCTTGGTGTGAGTTTGTACCTTAATTCGTAATTTGTTGAATAGAGTGGGCACTCATCATTATTGTTTCAGACATCCTGATAGTTATGATTATTTACTGAGTATTAACTGTTCTTTAATCTTTGTCAAAATAGATGATTACTGACCCCTATGAAATGAAAACTGTATGATGTATTAACATGAGAACCAAAATGTGTTGGCTGCGTAGAATGGAGACTAATTTTCCTTGTCTTGTGTATCTGTATGTGGTTAAGAAAATGTCATCCTTCAGAAGAAATGCTGATTTTATAGCCTTGTTTTTCAGTTTTTAGTAATTAGCGTGTGAGTATTGGCTTTTTCTGTGATGTTACAGAAGAGGTTTGAGAAACACTTTGAAACATTGATACAGATCTGGGAAGTAGCTGTGAACTTTGAGAAGTTGTGAGTTGATTACACTTCTCTAGATTTCAAAAATGGCAACAGGTTTTCTGTTTTTTTCCTTTCTTTTTGAAAGAGCATTTAGAAACATATAATCAGTAAAGAATTGAAACCCAGAACTTAGAACTGTTACATATCAGTAGAAAAATGGCCATACTGTTTATAGGCATTTCACAGGCTTATAGGTAACCTGAAAGGCCGATAATTGGTGTGTTCTAATCAGGAAGAAAACAAATCAGTGAGGTACGAGTTTACGAGTTTACGTTGATCAGTTTGGAAAAATTAGAAGGTATGAAAATATTAAGAATTACTGAGATGAAGAGAAATAAGAACTGTCATGCTGCCAGATGGGTGTCTGAAAAGATATAAGCACATTGGAGTGCAATTTAGCAACCCCCAGTGAAGGTGAAAATACGTATGAGAGGATTTAATAACGTTCATGGGAAAATGGTTTTAATGTAGGTGTTTATTTTGGTGCAAAATATTGGAATCTGCATTTTTTTTGAGAGGTTTTTGCTATAAGGCGTGTGTGCTAGCCTGAAAGACAGAGAGACAGAAAGTGAGAAATCACCCCCTGGTGGGATGGCCACGCTGCAGTCCCTTCTCCCCCATTCTCCTCTCTGGATCTTGGGCACATATTGCACACACGCCCGGTGTGAGTTTAAGCCATTGGGTCTGAGGTTGACTACATGGGAGTCCAGCGACAGCCATTACACCAACTGCTGACCCCATAGTTTTTTAATAATATACATTTACATGAATTTTTTTGAAGATTCCTCTCCCCACTTTGTATTTGGACCCAACAGTTCTCTTTCCAGGAATCTATCCTAGGAATAAACAGTATAAGAAATAAGGATTATTGCAGCCTCTTAATAACAAAATTGGAAACAATTTAAACATCCTATTAGAGAAGGACTAATAAATACATTGTGGTACTCATGTACTGTAATAAATACTCTGTAAGTTTCATGAATGAGTTAGATTACTGTAGGTCTAGGTCATGGCTGTATTAAACAAAATCAAAAGCAAAGTCTGGGGATCAGCTGATGGCCTGGTGGTTAAGGCTGGATTTCCACTTGCCTGACTATAGTTCAAGTGTGGGATCCAGCAGCTTGAAATTCATGCTGGGCACATGTGTTTGCATGCCCGAAATTCCAAATGGAAAAGGGATTGCAGTATGACTGTTCCCACCTCCTCCAGGGTGACTTCTCACTTTCCTTTCTTCTTTTTCTCTCTATCCAGTGTACGTTTGCTATTACAAACACCAGAAATGAAAAAAAGAAAGAAAGAAAGATCTGAGTCAATATGCTATTTGATCACACATGCAAAACAATACTCTGTTGTTTATAGATACATGTAGTTACAGTTAAAATATCCATAGTCATGATTAACACCGTATTCCAAGTTAGTCGTTACCTTAGGGGGAGAGGAAATAGAATGTGATCTGTGGTAGTATTTCATATGTTAAAAAAATATTGGTACAAATGCAGGAGAGTGATATGTTCTATTAGTGTTCAGGGATGTTTCCGTATGTCCAATGTTTCATAATTAGAAACAATGAAAGGTATATAAATAGATGCTTTAGGAAGAGGAAGGTGATGTGATAATAATGGTGGTGGTAATGGTGTTGGTAGCCAACGGGCTGCTGCTGCCACTGCTGCCATGCCTGTGTTGGTCTGAGTCAAGTCTGCTGAGGGCTTCCTGATGCCTTTGCCGGGCATAGCCTTTGTGTCCTCCTCCTCTGCAATTTTGGTCCTCAAACCTAATGCTCCTCATCTCCTGTAGCCCAGTGCTAATGGCAGTTACTTACTGAGCTGGTAGCAGACATAGTCTAAGGAAAATTGGTTCAACATTTTGTATAAAGCTAGGCATTCTTTAGTTTCTAGAAGTGAATACATTAGACAAAAAAATGTGACAAAAGGAGAAATTACTATTCAAATATAGGAAGATGAGTAGGTAAAATGAGACATGGTAATCATGCAGTTATGAGGGTTTCCCCCTCTTTTTCTACCTTCCTTATCTCTGTCTCCTTTAAAGAAAGAAAATTTCTGTTTGGAGGGATAAACCCCAAGGACTTTACGAAGACTAAAAGTGGCATGTAATTCCCTGATAAATAGAATAAAGTGTAACCAAAAATGTAAGTGACCATTTTGTTGTTGTTTTCTAACAACTTTATTAAGATATAATTTATATACCATGTAGTTCATCCACTTAAAGTGTACAATTCAGGAGTATATTCATAGAGTTGTAAAACCAATACCACATCAGTTTTAGAATGTTTTCATTACCCCCAAGGAAGCTCCATGCCTTTTAAATTGTCAATCCCCACCATGGGGGGGGAGGGGTCTCCTGATCACCATCTCAGCCCTAGGCAACCACTACTTTACTTTGTCTCTACTGATTAGCCTATTTTTAGCATTTACTATTAATGGAAGTACATGATGTACTCTTTGTAACTGGCTTCTTTAAGTTAGCGTGTTTTCTAGGTTCATCCATGTTGGAGCATGTATTAGTGCTTCTTTCTTTCTTATAGCCAAGTGTACTCCATTGTTCAAGGGAACCTCAACAAATTTGTGAAAAAAATGGGATTAAAGTGCAAAATTTTGTTGCAGAAAGGTTTTGAAATTCATAAAGCCTGTTCATTTTCATTTTTTCATACTGTGCATTTTCTATGAAGTTTTCAAAAAAACTCTCATGAATTTATCCATTCATTAGTGATAGACATTTAGGTTGTTTCTACTTTGATAATGAATAATGCTTCTATGCTCATGTATAAGTTTTTCTGTGAATGTGTTTCCATTTTTCTTGGATATATACCTATGGGTAGAATTGCTTGGTCATATAGGAATAGGAACCCTGTGTTTGTTCTGTGGAACCACGAGGCTATTTTCCACAGTGGTTGTACCATTTTAATACATTCCCACCCACAGTGAAGGAGTTCCCTTTACTATTGATCTGTCTTTGATTATAGCCACACTGGTGTTTGTGAAGTGGTATCTCATTATGGTTTTGATATGTATTTCCCTGATGACTAATATGTTGAGCATATTTTCATGTGCTTTCTGGCTTGACTGTATGTTGCCTTTGGAGAGACATTTATTCATATCCTTCCCCATTTAAAAATTAGTTTATCCATATTGTTGAGTTGTAACTGTTTCTTATTAAGTATTCTGGATATAAGTGTTGTATCAGCTCTATGACTTGAAAATATTGTTAGAGTGGTGAGAGAAATCATCTCTGCATAGGTGACAGTTAAAGACTTATCTGGGACCAGCAGGTGGCATGGTGACTAAGGTACTGGGCTCCTTCCTATATGTTTGACCATGGCCTGAGTCTGGACCTGGTGGCTTGCTTTCTCACCTTCTCTCTCTGGTGAGCATATGTGCCCTATGGCAAACTAAAATGAATAAAAATAATAAATAAAACTAAATATATTTATTATTAATAATAAATGGAATAATACATTTATTTATTATAAATTTAGTTTTATTTATTATTATTATATTTTTATTTGACGAGGGGGGGGTAGGGTAAAAGTGAGAAAGCAAGCTCTAGCTCCAGGTTTCAAACCACGGTCAACCATGTGGGTGTTTAGCACCTTAATCACAATGCCACCTGCCAACCCCAAGCAAATAATTTTAAATAAATACTTTATATGTTTTAATTTCCAATGTAATAACAATAAATATAACCCACTTAAACAAAAGCACTAGACTCTTCAATAATGTTTTTTTATGAATTATCTA